TCTTTCATTTCCCCCTTTTTTTTTTTTTTTAAAACCTGTAGATTCTTGAAACTTTCTCAACTTTGGAAAAGTGATAGAGCTGAAAAATAAAAGTGAATTTGTCACAGTGTCACTTTCATGAATTGAAAACATTTGTAAAGTTACACAGTAGAAAATGTGCAAAAAGGACAAAAAGCATGCTTAATATTCTTCATGAAACAGAGGAAAAAAAAAAAAAAAAAAAAAAAAAAAGAAGAAGAAAAACCTTAAACCAATGTGGTACATGTTGAAAGTATGTCCTGCTGAAGGAAGTGACAGAGTGAAAAATGGATCTAGCCCAAAATTTCTCAAGGGAGAAACAACTCCTGATTCCTGCTTTCTTACAAAACTGTTCTTCCATTTCCCAGAGTTCTGTGGCCAGCCAGGAGAAAGAGTTGTTCTGTGTGGTTCCCATTCTGCCCAGTAAGGAAGGGGAAAGAAAATCAGATTCTGCCCATAATCACAGTACTGTGGTGAAGCCAGGCAGATCTGCAGCTCAAAAACACGGCTTTGACCGCCCAGGTGGACATAAGAGGAGTTTTCCTGCTACCTGGTGGAGGGCAAATGGGAACATCTGCACACAACGTGAGATGCATTTTGGAAGTCTCATCTTTTGATGAAATACTGCTAAAAGTTTGTCCAGAGGGACTTACCACATGTAGCCATGTGTGGCTGAAGAGCTGCTTAAGGTGTATGAGATGATGAACCCCTCAAACAGCAGGGATAGGGAAAGGGCCATCAAGAATAGGAGAAAGGAAAGAGATGTCACTGTGTTTTTCTCTCTTGCAGTAAATACAAGGCGATAGTTTTATGTTTGCTGAGTGACTCTGTTAACATGGACTGCTGGAAGGACAAGCCTTGCAGGACAGCCAGCAGCAGTGGATTCACAACAGTTCTGCAGCTGGTGAAGGCTGGCTGTGTTAAGACTGCTGTGAGCAGGGACGAGAGCCAGCCCTTCTGTGCCTGATGTGGGTGGTGCTTCAGGCTGACCCTCAGCAAAGACAGGTTGGAAAGCCCTTGGGAACATCCTGTAAGGAGGAGAAACCAAGAGCCTAACTCCCCAGGGGCCTGCAAAGAGCTAGCAAAGCACAGCAGGGTAGGACAGGGCATGGACTGGTCCCTCTGCAAAGTGCACATAGACGGAGTAGTAGGGCTGGATGACTGATGCTGGGGGAGCACTGTTAGCCACTGCTGATCCATCAGGCATGCAGGTATTTAATAGTTGCCACCCTTTCTGAAGAAATAATTTATTGATTTTGATCAATCTTGATTTAAAACTTGATTGAACTTGATTAAAAACTTGATTGAAGTCTTGATTTAAATCCCTCTTAGTTTAAACACTTGGAGACTCGTGGACTCGCACGTCCACCAGGTCGCTCAGGACCATGCATGGGGACCCAGCTCCTTGGAAGCCAAGGACAGGGATCGTGAGATCATGGCAGCCCTGTCCTATCAGGGGTATTGTGACCTGCAGTAGTGCTAGGCAACTGCCATATGTCACTGCGGGGCTCACAGCCACAGCCTCAGTCACCCTCAAGCCAGAGCTGGCCCCAGACCAGACCTGCAGCTCCCACCAGGGTGCTGGGGCACCAGTGCAGGTGGGCTCGAGCTGGATGGTCTTTAAGGTCCCTTCCCACACCAGCCCTTCTCTGATTCTGTGCTGGAGGCACTGCACAAGGAAGATGGGGTGGTGTGCTGATGTCTGAAAAAAAGCAAACAACAAAACTAAGAGGAGGATTCAGACTAACAGAACTGGTAGGATTGAAGGAAAGACCAAAGAAAGAAAAGGTCACAATGAAAAGAAACAACCAAACAAAACAAAATCCAACAAAAACTGTCTATTCCATTGTTGCAGGGTTGGGAACCTACACGGATGGACACAAAAGTACTAGAGCAACAGCCCTGGAGGAGTCTGAGGCAGCAAGCTGAGGTTTCAGCTCTGTTCAGAGAATGCCAAAAGGAAAGGCTCCAGGAGATACTTGGCAGAAGCCGAAAGGGGCAAAGAGGACCGGACCTCAACTGGGGAGCCTGCGTGCAATTTCAGGTAATCTGTGAGTTCTACAGGACATGCAGAGACAAGCAAGTAAGAAATAACAGACAGGTATAGAACTCAAGCCAGAACTAAGGCAGGTAAACCAAAATTTTCCTGAGTACAAACTCCTGCAGGCAAAGGTAGCTACCAGGCATGTAAAAAAACCTCCAAAGTAGCCTTAATTGCCTGTTGCCTGTCCTGGAGATATCCCTAGAGATATGCGAGTTTCGGATGCAGAGAGAAAAAATGTGTGTTGGCGGAAGGCAAACCTTTTGCAGAAGCATGCTGAGGTGAGAAGGCAAGGGTAGCTACCAGGCATACGCTTAGCAGGAAACTTGGAGGAGGTGGAGAGGTTGAGGGCCCTCAGGGAGGGCGAGCGGGAGTCAGAGCTGTGGGGTAACTCCCTGCAAGATCTGAAGGAGAGGTACTGGCGTGAGGCGCCCCAAAGGGGGGTGGACCCCCTGCCCTACTGAGCAGAGGGAGGGGACCTAGGAGGTGAGGAGGAATGGAAACAGGTCACTGCTCGACATTGCAGACAACCCCCCTCCCTACTGTCCCAGCCTTCCTGGAGCTTGAGAGACCGCTGGGTGAGGATGAGGTGAACCCTCTGTCCAGGACGATGCCTAAGGCAAGGAAGCTGACTCCACACCTCAGGACTGCCTCCACAAAGAAAGAAAGAAGGGTGATTGTTGTAGACGACTCCCTTCTCAGGGAAACAGAGGGTCCTGTTTGTCAGCCTGACCCTACCTGTAGGGAAGTCTGCTGCCTCCCCGGGGCCAGGGTCAGGGACATTGCTAGAAAGCTTCCTAAGTTGGTTTGCCCTTCTGACTACTATCCTCTTGATAGTTCAGGCTGGCAGAGATGATATTGAAGAGAGAAGCCTGAAGGCTATCAAATAAGACTTTAAGGGAACTGGGACAATTAGTATATGGAGAAGGAGTACAGGTCGTGCTTTCCTCCATCCCTACAGTGGCAGGGAGGGGTACAGAGGGGACTTGGAAAGCCCACCTGATTAACAGGTGGCTCAGAGGCTGGTGCCAACACAGAAATTTGGGGTTTTATGGCCGTGGAGTGCTTTACTCGGCACCTGGCCCACTAACTGCAGATGGGTCCCACCTGCCTTGAAGGGGAAAACACACTAGCACAGGAGCTGGCAGGGCTCATTGAGGGCTTTAAACTAGGAAGGAAGGGGGATGAGGACAGGGAGGGAATAAGACTCGTTAGAGGTGTGCCGGGGGAACAGTGTCAAGGCCAGGGGAGCAGGCAATAGCCCAGCTGAAGTTCATCTATGCTAATGCATGCAGCATGGGCAACAAAGAGGAGGAGCTGGAAGCCATTGTGCAGGCAGGCAGCCTATGACTTGGTTGCCATCACTGAAATGTGGTGGGACCACTTCCATGACTGGAGTGCTGCAATGTCTGGCTATAGGCTCTTCAGAAGGGACAGGCAGCACGGAGGGGGTGGTGGTGTGTCTCTCTATATCAGAGAGAGTTTTGATGTTGTGGAACTCGAGGCTGCAACTGGGAATGAGCTTGATTGAACTTGATTTAAAACTTGATTGAAGTCTTGATTTAAATCCCTCTTAGTTTAAATACCGTTATTGGAGAGGGGAAGAATTGAATAGCAGAAGGAAAAACCTTTTGCAGAAGCATGCCGAGGTGAGAAGGCAAGGGTAGCTACCAGGCATACGCTTAGCAGGAAAGTTGGCCAGACTTGTGGCGTCCCTGCCCTGAAGGGCTTTGCAGGTACCCAGAGCTAAATCTGTGTCAGCAAGAAGCCCAAACATTTGCAGAAGCTTCGTGGAGGAAGCAATGGTGGCTTGCAGGCATGCAGCTAGCTGGAAAGGAGAGGCAAACTTGGCAGAAAGCTAACGTGGAGGGGTCCTGGGCTGGCATTGGCAAGCAATTCTGCATGTGGAGCTAGCCCAGAGATTTGGAAAATGTGATCAGCGAGGAAAAGCGAAGGTACCCTGGCAGGTACCTCTCTCCAGAATTGGGCCAAGATCTCAGGTAGCTCCCCTGAAGCAATCTGCTGACAGGCTGCCAAAGTCAATCTGCGTGTGGACGTAGGCACAAACTTTTGTCAAAGGAGATCAAGAGAAGGCAAGAGAAGCCTGTTGGCATGCAGCTCCCTCCAAAATTGGCCAATGCTCTTGGGTACCTAGCCTGAAGGGGTCTAGGACTAAATGCACAAGTCAGTCTCTGGAAGAGGCCAAAAACTTTCAAGTATGCCTGGGAGGAGGAACGGGTAGCTACTGGGCATGCACGTAATTGCCAATTTGACTGAAATTGAGGTAGCGACCCCGGACGGGTACGCTGCTGTAGTCCAGGAGTAAGGCAGGGAGGCAAAACTTTTTGCTAAGTGTAATGTGGTGGAGGCCAAGGGAGCTCCCGGGCATGTAAACCCTCCAAAGTAGCCTTAATTGCCTGTTGCCTGTCCTGGAGATATCCCTAGATATATGCGAGTTTGATATGCAGAGAGAAAAAATGTGTGTTGGCAGAAGGAAAAACCTTTTGCAGAAGCATGCCGAGGTGAGAAGGCAAGGGTAGCTACCAGGCATACGCTTAGCAGGAAAGTTGGCCAGACTTGTGGCGTCCCTGCCCTGAAGGGCTTTGCAGGTACCCAGAGCTAAATCTGTGTCAGCAAGAAGCCCAAACATTTGCAGAAGCTTCGTGGAGGAAGCAATGGTGGCTTGCAGGCATGCAGCTAGCTGGAAAGGAGAGGCAAACTTGGCAGAAAGCTAACGTGGAGGGGTCCTGGGCTGGCATTGGCAAGCAATTCTGCATGTGGAGCTAGCCCAGAGATTTGGAAAATGTGATCAGCGAGGAAAAGCGAAGGTACCCTGGCAGGTACCTCTCTCCAGAATTGGGCCAAGATCTCAGGTAGCTCCCCTGAAGCAATCTGCTGACAGGCTGCCAAAGTCAATCTGGTGTGGACGTAGGCAAAACTTTTGTCAAAGGAGATCAAGAGAAGGCAAGAGAAGCCTGTTGGCATGCAGCTCCCTCCAAAATTGGCCAATGCTCTTGGGTACCTAGCCTGAAGGGGTCTAGGGACTAAATGCACAAGTCAGTCTCTGGAAGAGGCCAAAAACTTCCCCAAGTATGCCTGGGAGGAGGAACGGGTAGCTACTGGGCATGCACGTAATTGCCAATTTGACTGAAATTGAGGTAGCGACCCCGGACGGGTACGCTGCTGTAGTCCAGGAGTAAGGCAGGGAGGCAAAACTTTTTGCTAAGTGTAATGTGGTGGAGGCAAGGGAGCTCCCGGGCATGTAAACCCTCCAAAGTAGCCTTAATTGCCTGTTGCCTGTCCTGGAGATATCCCTAGATATATGCGAGTTTGATATGCAGAGAGAAAAAATGTGTGTTGGCAGAAGGAAAAACCTTTTGCAGAAGCATGCCGAGGTGAGAAGGCAAGGGTAGCTACCAGGCATACGCTTAGCAGGAAAGTTGGCCAGACTTGTGGCGTCCCTGCCCTGAAGGGCTTTGCAGGTACCCAGAGCTAAATCTGTGTCAGCAAGAAGCCCAAACATTTGCAGAAGCTTCGTGGAGGAAGCAATGGTGGCTTGCAGGCATGCAGCTAGCTGGAAAGGAGAGGCAAACTTGGCAGAAAGCTAACGTGGAGGGGTCCTGGGCTGGCATTGGCAAGCAATTCTGCATGTGGAGCTAGCCCGGAAGATTTGGAAAATGTGATCAGCGAGGAAAAGCGAAGGTACCCTGGCAGGTACCTCTCTCCAGAATTGGGCCAAGATCTCAGGTAGCTCCCCTGAAGCAATCTGCTGACAGGATGCCAAAGTCAATCTGGTGTGGACGTAGGCACAAACTTTTGTCAAAGGAGATCAAGAGAAGGCAAGAGAAGCCTGTTGGCATGCAGCTCCCTCCAAAATTGGCCAATGCTCTTGGGTACCTAGCCTGAAGGGGTCTGAGGACTAAATGCACAAGTCAGTCTCTGGAAGAGGCCAAAAACTTTTCAAGTATGCCTGGGAGGAGGAACGGGTAGCTACTGGGCATGCACGTAATTGCCAATTTGACTGAAATTGAGGTAGCGACCCCGGACGGGTACGCTGCTGTAGTCCAGGAGTAAGGCAGGGAGGCAAAACTTTTTGCTAAGTGTAATGTGGTGGAGGCAAGGGAGCTCCCGGGCATGTAAACCCTCCAAAGTAGCCTTAATTGCCTGTTGCCTGTCCTGGAGATATCCCTAGATATATGCGAGTTTGATATGCAGAGAGAAAAAATGTGTGTTGGCAGAAGGAAAAACCTTTTGCAGAAGCATGCCGAGGTGAGAAGGCAAGGGTAGCTACCAGGCATAGCTTAGCTGGAAACTTGGTAGATTGGGGTCCTCGGAAGGCGAGGGACAGAGCTGTGGGGTAACTCCCTTAGAGGCCTTAAGGAGAGGTAGTGGGGTTTGGCGCCCCAAAGGGGGGTGGACCCCCTGCCCTTCTGAACATAGGGAGGGAACCTCTGAGGCGAGGAGGAATGGAAACAGGTCACTGCTCGACATTGCAGACAACTCCCCTCCCCAACTGCCTCCACAAAGAAAGAATGAAGGGTGATTGTTGCGTGCAATTTCAGTTAATCTGTGAGTGCTACGGGACACGCAGAGATCGGGAGGCAACAGCTAACAGACGGGCATGCAGCTTGTGCCAGAACTAACACCGAGGGCGCTGCTAGGACCCGGCAGCCCCCATGAGGGCGGCTGAGGAGGCAGAGGCAGCAGCGCCCCCTCCCCAGCCGTTAAAAATCCGCCCAAAGAGGCGCGAGCGCTGAAGGCGGGAAACAGGTGAGGGGCGGTGGTTTGCGCTGAGGTGAGGCAGGGCGGCACGCTCCGCCCCACTCACAAGAAGAAGTTTTCTGCCGGCTGCCTGCCTGTAGGTAAACCGCTATGATCCTCACGAGGCAGAGAGCTCTTTTTAGACGGGCTGCAGCCACCCGGACTGAACGCCCGCTCAAAACTGTGGTGGCTCGGGTCTCTGGGTGCAGGGAGTGCCTGAGGGTGGCAGGGACGCGGTGTGTGTGAGGTGGCTGGCGTGCTCAGCCTGGTGGCGGAGCTCAAGGAGGAGGTGGAGAGGTTGAGGGCCCTCAGGGAGGGCGAGCGGGAGACAGAGCTGTGGGGTAACTCCCTGCAAGGCCTGAAGGAGAGGTAGTGGGGTGAGGTGCCCCAAAGGGGGGTGGACCCCCTGCCCTACTGAGCAGAGGGAGGGGACCTAGGAGATGAGGAGGAATGGAAACAGGTCACTGCTTAACATTGCAGAAAAACCCCTCCCTACCGTCCCAGCCTTCCTGGGTGCCCTTATGCAACAGGTTTGTGGCCCTGGAGCACACCCCCCACCCTCCGAGCTCTCCCTTTTTTCCTCACTGCAAGTTTTTTCCTACCATGAATTTTTTTCCCACTTCCTCCTAACACTTTTATGTTCTAAGCTTATCTGTCCCACCCTGGGATGACAATTGGCATGATTTGGGCAAAAAGTTGAGTATTGTAGTTTTGTATGGTTAGCATGTACTTCCTTAATCTCATTATCTTATTAAGAGTAAACTTTAATGTTCCTTTTATAACTAATGAAGGAAAAGGCTTGACTTAGGGCAGCGCAGACTTGAGGATTCTGTTCTGATGCCCAAACAGGGTTTGGCACGCAGCGGGTATGCTGCTTTTGCCCAGAACTAATGCCTACCAGGCATACGCTTAGCAGGAAAGTTGGCCAGACTTGTGGCGTCCCTGCCCTGAAGGGCTTTGCAGGTACCCAGAGCTAAATCTGTGTCAGCAAGAAGCCCAAACATTTGCAGAAGCTTCGTGGAGGAAGCAATGGTGGCTTGCAGGCATGCAGCTAGCTGGAAAGGAGAGGCAAACTTGGCAGAAAGCTAACGTGGAGGGGTCCTGGGCTGGCATTGGCAAGCAATTCTGCATGTGGAGCTAGCCCGGAAGATTTGGAAAATGTGATCAGCGAGGAAAAGCGAAGGTACCCTGGCAGGTACCTCTCTCCAGAATTGGGCCAAGATCTCAGGTAGCTCCCCTGAAGCAATCTGCTGACAGGACGCCAAAGTCAATCTGCGTGTGGACGTAGGCACAAACTTTTGTCAAAGGAGATCAAGAGAAGGCAAGAGAAGCCTGTTGGCATGCAGCTCCCTCCAAAATTGGCCAATGCTCTTGGGTACCTAGCCTGAAGGGGTCTAGGGACTAAATGCACAAGTCAGTCTCTGGAAGAGGCCAAAAACTTCCCAAGTATGCCTGGGAGGAGGAACGGGTAGCTACTGGGCATGCACGTAATTGCCAATTTGACTGAAATTGAGGTAGCGACCCCGGACGGGTACGCTGCTGTAGTCCAGGAGTAAGGCAGGGAGGCAAAACTTTTTGCTAAGTGTAATGTGGTGGAGGCCAAGGGAGCTCCCGGGCATGTAAACCCTCCAAAGTAGCCTTAATTGCCTGTTGCCTGTCCTGGAGATATCCCTAGATATATGCGAGTTTGATATGCAGAGAGAAAAAATGTGTGTTGGCAGAAGGAAAAACCTTTTGCAGAAGCATGCCGAGGTGAGAAGGCAAGGGTAGCTACCAGGCATACGCTTAGCAGGAAAGTTGGCCAGACTTGTGGCGTCCCTGCCCTGAAGGGCTTTGCAGGTACCCAGAGCTAAATCTGTGTCAGCAAGAAGCCCAAACATTTGCAGAAGCTTCGTGGAGGAAGCAATGGTGGCTTGCAGGCATGCAGCTAGCTGGAAAGGAGAGGCAAACTTGGCAGAAAGCTAACGTGGAGGGGTCCTGGGCTGGCATTGGCAAGCAATTCTGCATGTGGAGCTAGCCCGGAAGATTTGGAAAATGTGATCAGCGAGGAAAAGCGAAGGTACCCTGGCAGGTACCTCTCTCCAGAATTGGGCCAAGATCTCAGGTAGCTCCCCTGAAGCAATCTGCTGACAGGACGCCAAAGTCAATCTGCGTGTGGACGTAGGCACAAACTTTTGTCAAAGGAGATCAAGAGAAGGCAAGAGAAGCCTGTTGGCATGCAGCTCCCTCCAAAATTGGCCAATGCTCTTGGGTACCTAGCCTGAAGGGGTCTAGGGACTAAATGCACAAGTCAGTCTCTGGAAGAGGCCAAAAACTTCCCCAAGTATGCCTGGGAGGAGGAACGGGTAGCTACTGGGCATGCACGTAATTGCCAATTTGACTGAAATTGAGGTAGCGACCCCGGACGGGTACGCTGCTGTAGTCCAGGAGTAAGGCAGGGAGGCAAAACTTTTTGCTAAGTGTAATGTGGTGGAGGCCAAGGGAGCTCCCGGTCTTTTACCAACCGTCAAAGTAGCTCAATTTCACTTTTGCATAACGTAGTGATATCTGGGTTTAGGATGCAGAGAGAAAAAATCTGTGTTGAACAGAACATACACGTGAACAGGATAGGATATTCAGGAGGACTTATAGCTTTCCAAGTCAACTGATAGCAAGGGTGTATGTGCTACTAATCCCTATAAAGAAAATGTGAAATTAGAACCAGGAATTAAGAACTCAGTTAAATCAGTAGCAGCAAAACTAAGATAAAAAAGGGAAAAGTAGATCATCTTGCTAAGGAGAGTTTCATAGAATAGCCTAGATTACCATAGAAAAAATCAGGAACATCAAGACCCAAATGAAATACTAGTAGTAAGGAAGATACGAAGTCAGATGGAAATGTACTGCGGACACTTCAGAAATAAGAGACAGACCTATGAAAGCACCAGTTACTAGTCAATAGGGAGGGAAAGCTATTAACAAACAGGATTAATTACTTAAGTGAAGTTCATCGTCTAACCAAGTTATGAGATTGTTCATAAATTCTTTCAAATAATTGTGACCTAAGAAAGAATTACTCTGTTTCAGCCAGTTCTCAGAGGCCTGTAATCTCAACACAGTTTTGTGGTTTTCTTTGAAAGTAAGATGGAGTAGTGTTCAAAAGGACGAAAAATGGCATACTGGGATCTCTTTAGACATAAAATAAAGATGAATCAGAATTATAGACTTAACAGCTCCTAGAGAAATGCAGATCCAAATACAAAATCATATTTGTTTTTAACTCCCAGAAGACAGCTCGGCGATAACAACAGCTAACAGATTTGTAAAGAAAAAATTATGTCAAACTAATGCAATTTCCATCTACGACAAAGTAATGGGCTCTGTAGAGAAGGAAGATGTGTTCGAAATCATGTATCTTGATTTTAGAAAGACTTCTGCCACAGGCTCATGTGATATTCTCATCAGAAAGTTGAACAAACATCGTCTGTATGAAAGCTCTCCTGAGAAGTTTAAAAGCTGCACTCGGGGAGCAGTTATCAACAATTCACTATTAAACTGAAACATTGAGTCAGATGGGAATTTGTGGACACCTGACCCAGGTCAGATAGTAGGTTTTTTTCACTATCTTAAATGAGGGAATGAACCGTGTGGTCGTTACGTTAGCACATGACCTTAAGATGAAAGGGGCTGGAAACATTTTAGTAGAAAGGATTGGAATTCAGAATGTTCTTGACAAGTTGGACCAATGGGTGGGGGGGAGAGGGAACATTATGCATTTCAGAAAGGACAAATGCACAATTATAAAGTTGAGAAGAAAAGAAAAAAAACACTAATTGCCAAACAAAGAAACACTAGAGGAACAGATCTGGAGACAGAGAAGCAAAAGAAATGGAAGGTAGGGACTGAGCTTGTAACCTCATGACCAAGACAGTTATCCTATGGCATATCTGAGTTCTACAGAAGGATAAATATAACGTATAAGACACATGCAATCTGTGCTGTAGACCACTTGCTTCCTATAATGTCTCAGCTGCAATAGTTGACTCTGTTTTGAGAACTTCTCTTGTGAGCATTGTTCCAAGAACAATGTGGAGCTATTGGAAACGGTCCAGAAGCAAGAAATAAAAGGCTGAAAGTCTGGAAACATGACCTGTGTGGGAGATGTCCTGAGTCACCTTGCCTAAATTTGGTGTTTCTCCATGATTTTATGAAAGGCTAGATGAACTGGGGTCCTTTTAGTCTAGAGAACAGATAACTGAGAGCAGACGTGGTAGTTGTCTTCAAATATACAGAGGACAGTTAAACGAAAGGTAGGAATATTTTTGTCCTTGTTCAGTGTGGGCTGAAAATGCAGCACAGAACAATGTGGTTAGACATTAGAGAGATCTGTCTAGCAGGGAAGCTCATAAAGTAATGAAGTAGGTTTTCCTAGAGAAAGTGCACATCCTTCTTTTCCATGGAGTCTCAAGATCAGGGTGGGTAGAAATACCAGGAGTCACACCAGTTGCTCTTGCCTTTGTCAGGGAGGTGGTTTGGAGGAACACCTGAATCCCTTCTGTTCTAAGTGGTTTCCATTTTACAAAGGAACAAAAAGCTTATGTAAACTGTTTTGTTTGTTTGTTTTTGTTTTGTTTTTCTAGAGCCATGATCCAGATTTGATTATAAAGATACTACCTTCCACTAGAACTGTTGATTTCTACTATGGCCCTGGTTTTCCTACAAGGTTAGTAGCACTTCATTACCTTCAAGCTTCATTGGTTTGTTTATTAAAATGTTCCAGTTGTGGATTCACTTCAACTACTGAGTATCTCTTACTGCTCCAATAATGAGGCATCCAAACTCATTTTCCATAGGCTGGAAGGGTAATGGGTATCTGAAGTCATGGGAGACCATCCTCCCAGGTTCATTCAGGGTGCTGTAGTGGGAAGAAACACCAAGGATATCACCACATCCCTGCCACCTAGCCCACAACAGAATGGCCTGCATTCATGGTGGGGAGAATTTCAAATTCTGTTAGGTTTTTAGTTTAGTTATGGTCTGATTTTGTTGTTGTTGTTTTTTTGTTGTTTTGTGGTTTTTTTTGGTGGTGCTTTTTTTTAAAAAACAATATTTAAAATAGCTGCACAAAATGGAATCACTCTTCCAGTCATAGTTTCCCTAGAACAGAATAAACCATTCTGGTTTGTTTTTGCTGGAGTGGCTGTATCGAAGCTATGTTAATTGAAGATTGCAGTTTTGCATACCTCAGCTGGCATTGCCATGCCACCATACCTTCAAGTTCAGAGTGCAGGGTAGCACAGGCAGAGGCAACATGATCTCAGCTGGTTCCTCTGGAGTTTGCCAAACTAGCTACTAATATCCAGGGCCAGACACTTCTTCTTGCACCAAAGGGCTTGGGAACCATACCCCAGATGGTTCTGAGCTGAAGCAGTTAGTTTCCTTCTGTGCTAGTCTTTTTTCTCCCTAGGAGTCTCTGCTAGGTGGGACCAGACTTCTCTGATGGCCCACATGACATCCACAGTGGTTCAGTGAATGCTTGTTTCCCCTTTTCATCTTGAAAATAGTTCCTTCAGGATTGTTGAAGGTGCAAATCACTTGTTTTAAGAGCCTGTGAGTCAGAAAAAGGAATAAAATCACTTTTCTTTGGGATGTTTTGAAGTTCCTGATGCAGGAAAAGGAGCCAGTTTCCTGCTGCTTCCTCTTGAAATTGATCAGCTGCACTACTGGTGAGGAAAGCCTGGAGTCTCTGCTCCAGTTTCTTCTTTGTGATCAGAGTATCTTTTAAGACTTACAACAAATGATGCTGTCAGGAAATATTCTTTTGTTCAGCATCAGGACATTGCTGTTCCATATGGGAGAACAGAGCTGCCTGTTATTGGTCTTGGAGAATAGCTGATTTTTCAGTTTGACAACAAAATTGAAAAATCAAGTGGAAAAAAGGTTTTACTTGGATCACACTGGAATGTTATTTATCTTGCTAAACCAAAAAAAAAAAGTGTTCCATTCAGCATGAAATATTTCATGCATTCCCAAATGAAATGTTTTATTTTGTGCACTTGTAAAAAAAAAAGCAAGGAAAATAAAAGGAGAGATTCACAAGCATGGTATCTGCCTTGTGCCCAAGGACTATAGCCCTTACTGAGAATGGGAGAGATCCTGTTCTTCCTTTGAAATGTCTTACCTCCCAGGAGCACAAAGCTATTACCAAAATTGCACTTGAAATCCAATAGTGATCATCAGCCAGCTCTGCGGTGCTGAGTGTAAATGATGAACTTTGGTGTATCAAGAAAATGGCCCCATCCCTTACTGGTTGCTATTTTTAAATGTCCTCAGAACATCATTCCATCTTTGGTAGAAGCTGGCACATTAGCAAAGAGCTTACAATTCAAACATATAAATTGTTTAGCCTTTTAATTTAAGCACATGAACATGAATAAATGCCAAGGACAAGAAAGAGGCAATAAAAGTATCCTTTCACAGAATCACAGAATCACAGAATTTCTAGGTTGGAAGAGACCTCAAGATCATCGAGTCCAACCTCTAACCTAACACTAACAGTCCCCACTAAACCATATCCCTAAGCTCTACATCTAAACGCCTTTTAAAGACTTCCAGGGATGGTGACTCCACCACCTCCCTGGGCAGCCCGTTCCAGTGCCTCACAACCCTTTCAGTAAAGAAATTCTAACCTAAAACTCCCCTGGCGTAACTTTAGCCCATTCCCCCTCGTCCTGTCACCAGGCACGTGGGAGAACAGGCCAACCCCCACCTCTCTACAGCCTCCTTTAATGTACTTATACAGAGCAATAAGGTCACCCCTGAGCCTCCTCTTCTCTAGGCTGAACAAGCCTAGCTCCTTCAGCCGCTCCTCATAGGACTTGCTCTCCAGGCCCCTCACCAGCTTCGTCGCCCTTCTTTGGACCCGCTCAAGCACCTCGATGTCCTTCTTGTAGCGAGGGGCCCAAAACTGAACACAGTACTCGAGGTGCGGCCTCACCAGAGCCGAGTACAGGGGGACGATCACCTCCCTAGCCCTGCTGGTCACAGTGTTTCTGATACAAGCCAGGATGCCGTTGGCCTTCTTGGCCACCTGAGCACACTGCTGGCTCATATTCAGCCGACTGTCCACCATCACTCCCAGGTCCTTCTCTGCCTGGCAGCTCTCCAACCATTCCTCTCCCAGCCTGTAGTTCTGCTTGGGGTTATTGCGCCCCAGGTGCAGGACCCGGCACTTGGCCTTGTTGAACATCATACAGTTGACCTCAGCCCATCGGTGCAGCCTATCCAGATCCTCCTGCAGAGCCTTCCTACCCTCGAGCAGATCGACACACGCACCTAGCTTGGTGTCATCTGCAAACTTACTGAGGGTGCACTCAATGCCATCATCCAGATCATT